AGGAATTCTGGGAGTGGAAGTCCACAAGTCTTAAGTTTGTCAAGTTTGAAAACCCCTGGAATAGATAGATAGAGAAAGAGAGGTAGAATAGATAGAGAGAAAGGGAAATAGATAGAATAGATAGATAGAGGGAGTGAGAGAGAGAGAAAGATAGAGAGAATAGATGGATAGAATAGATAGAATAGATAGAGAGAAAAATAGATAGAATAGATAGATAGAGGGAGGGGGGAGAGATAGAATAGATAGAATAGATAAAGAGAGGTAGAATAGACAGAGAGATAGAATAGATGGAAGGAGAGAGAGAAAGATAGAATAGATAGACTAGATAGAGAAAGAGAGGTAGAATAGATAGAGAGAAAGGGATAGAATAGATAGAGGGAGGAAGAGAGAGAAAGATAGGATAGATAGATAGAATAGATAGAGAAAGAGAGGTAGAATAGATAGAGAGAAAGATAGAATAGATCAAGGGTCTTCAAACTTAGCAACTTTAAGACTTGTGGACTTCAACTCCCAGGATTCCTGAGCTAACATGACTGGAGGAGGAGGAATTCTGGGAGTTGAGGTCCACAAGCCTTAAAGCTGTCAAGTTTGAAGACCCCTGCTCTATTCTCTATTCTATTCTTAAATTCTTATTCTATTCAAATTCTTATTCTATTCTATTCTATTCCCTATTCTTAAATTCTTATTCTATTCAAATTCTTATTCTATTCTTCTATATTCTATTCTAAAAATCTTATTCTATTCTATTCTTATTCTTATTCGATTCTCTATTCTCCATTCTCTATTCTATTCTAAATATCTTATTCAAATTCTTATTCAATCCTATTCAAATTCTTATTCTACTCTTCTATATTCTATTCTATTCAAATTCTTATTCTATTCCTATTCTATTCTCTATTCCAAGGGTTTTCAAACTTGGCAGCTTTAAGACTTGTGGACTTCAACTCCCAGGATTCCTGAGCCAACATGACTGGAGGAGGAGGAATTCTGGGAGTTGAAGTCCACGAGTCTTAAAGCTGCCAAGTTTGAAGACCCCTGCATTAGAGGGAATGATATCGAGAAGGTGGGGACCACAACGGAAAATGTGTGTGGCTTGGGTCCCACCAGAAAGGAGCCCCCTTGAAGACAAGGAGCACAGAATAGCCCTCTTGCCTGACCTGACAGAAGGAGGAAATCAAGGCGGTCACTGTTTGAAGTCCAGCCCAAACATCTGACCGATTGCAACCATCCATAATCATGTTAGATTAGAAGAATACAACAAGAATTGCTATCCTTCTGAAAGAGCAGCAAGAAGGAAAGTGGAGGGTTTTGGTTTTTTCTTTGCTGATCTCTCTGTAGATCTGTCTGCTCAGCCTCCTTCCTCTTCCCCCCTCCCTCCCCCAGCCAAAAATAAAATAAAAATCCCTTTGCCACTTGTTTTCCTGCTGCACTGAGAAATGTTAGTTCCGCTTATTTGCAATTAACACTCAGCTGCTAGAAGAACAGAGGACTGTAAGAAGCCTCTAGGGGAAGGCTGGCAATGAAATTATTCTCACCTCTTGCACAGACGCCCCCAGGAGATTCTTTTGCTGGCAATTGCCCTGTTTCTGAGCCAGCCTGCTTTGAGAGGGGAGGGCTTCCACTCCCAGAATCCCCCAGCCAGCCTGCTTTA